GCTCTTAAACTGCACTGCTGTCTGTGGAAGTTGCACTTTAAAGCGCACCTGCAGTTCAAACCAGTTGCCACTAGGTATTTTACTGTCCAGACTGTCTCTCCTTTAATTGAGGACAGGTTTATGTACCAGTTGTTAATGTTGAGACCAGAGATTCATACATTTGATTTATAAACAGAAAATTATTATTTACTTTCAAGCTTTTTAATGAATCTCCTATCAGCACTATCTGGGTAAAACTCAGATAAAACAAGCCGCTTTAATCTGAGTGCCATTTGGCCAATATAATTCACCCAGCGCTTTCCAGCGACTCATGGAACATATTTTTGGAGATGAACACTTCCAGTCTGTTACTGTATCTGGATTATATTGTGATCTTTTCTCCCTCCTTTCAGTCTCACTTACAGAATCTTGAGATGGTTTTGGGAAGATTGCAGCAACATAATTTGAAATTAAAATGAGAGAAATACAATTTCTTTCAGCCTGAAGTTCGCTATCTGGGATGTGCGATCTCCACTTTGGGGTGGCCAAAAGCTGAGATCACTGACAAAATTACTGCTGTTTCAGAATGGATGCGCCCTACTACGACCAAAGAGCTTCGGTTCTTTCTTGGTTTTTCATCTTACTATTGCTGATTTGTTGAACATTTTTTTGGTGGCTACTGTTCAAGAGGGCAAATCAAGACCAGGGGTGAGTTCACTGGATGGCCATTGGAATGGAGACTGCGAAAGGGCATTTCAAACCCTGATGACAAGTTGGTTACTGCACCAGTGCTTTACTTTACTAAGTCATATGGGGCTTAGTGCAGTACTTTCTCAAGAACAGGAAGGGAAAACGCAACCAGTTTCATATGCAAGTAGAGGGCTTCATCCAACGGAAAGGAACATGTTGAATTACAGCTCCATGAAGTTAGAACTTCTAGGATTGAAATGGGCAGTCACTAAAAAAAGTTCAGAGAGTCCTTATTGGGGGCCAAGTTTATTGTTTTTACTGACAAAAAGAGTTATTTGGAGACTGCAAAGTTGGGAGCAGTTGAACAGCGATGGCCTCCCAACTGGCCCATTTTAATTTTTAAATTGAAATACTGCCCTGGAAATAAGAAACAGTGATGCTTTGTCATGACAGCCTGCCTAGCCAGTGCCCACCAAGATTGAGGAAGTCGCCCCTGGGTTTCCTGTTCCACCTCCTTGTTTGAGTTTGTCTAGTGGTCCAGAGAACAAGGAGTTGTGGCAATTGCTGCAGCCAGAGACATTACAGTCAGAAGTGCTAACTGCTCTTCATGACAATCGTGGTCATCGGGTTGTGAACGAACAACATATTTTTGGTGCGGCAGAGATGTTATTGGCCCCAGATGAAAAGAGATACTGAACAGTGGTGTCAGAAGTGCTTTCGCTGTGTGACCACCAAAGCTGTGCTCCCCAAGGTGTGGACCTTTGCTGGTAGTGTGTTGGCTTCAAGGCCCTTGGAAATTCTAGCCATTGACTTCACTGTACTTGAATGAGCAAGTGATGGTTGAGAGAATGTTCTTGTGTTTACAGCTGTCTTCTCTAAGTTCACACTGACATACCCTACCTCGGATCAAAAGGCAAGCACTGTGGTACGTATTTTGACCGAGAAGTGGTTTTATGTTCATGGGATCCCCAAGGGCTCCATTCAGATCCAGGCCGCTGTTTTGAAGGGGAGATGTTGACGGCACTGTGTAAGGTGTATGGGATTGAGAAGGGTCAGACCACTCATATCACCCAGAAGGCAACGGGCAATGTGAAAGGTTTAATTGCACCATGCATGATCTCTTGCGAACACTGCCAGCAGATGAAAAGCAAAGATGGCCCCAGTTTTTACTGCAGCTAATCTTTGTCTACAATGCAACAGTGCATGAGCTGAGCTTTAAAGGAGGAAAGTGAGGGACAGTCATGGAGAGATTGTGGTAATGAGTTCCATAGTTTGGGGGCCATGACGCTGAAAGATCTGCCTCCCACAGTGACCAGCCTACATTTTGGGACAGCTAGACAATCTGAGTCAGAGGACCTGAGTGTTCGGGTGGGACAGTAATGGGGGCAGGAGCTCAGCTAAGTAAGCTAAGTAAGCTAAGCTAAGTAAGCATGTAGAGATTTGCCAGTTAGCGAGAAGACTTTAAACTGGATACGAAGCAGGACGGGTAACGAGTGTAACGAATTGGGGTGATGTGAGCTGATTTGTCAGAGTGAGAGGATTCTAGCTGCTGAGTTTTGTTAATAGTGAAGAGGGTGGATAGTTTTGTAAGGAACACCAATGAGACGGGGGTTGCAGTCGTCTAAGCGTGATGATGAAAGCATGGACCAGAGATTCAGTGTCTTTCATGGAGAGCAGGGGGCGAAGGTGAGCAATATTGTGGAGATGGAAAAAAGCTGTTTTGACCAAAGTCTTGATATAAGGCTCAAAAGAAAGGACGGGATCAAAACGTACACCTAAGTTACGGACAACAGCTGAAGGTGTAACGGTCACCTCATCCAAATTAAGTGTGAAATTAGTAGAATTTGCAGTAACAGACTTAGGACCAGTGAGCAGAATTTCAGTTTTGTCAGTGTTTAGTTTTAGAAAGTTACTCTGCATCCATTGTTTGAGCTCTGGAATACCAGATATTAGGGCAGGGAATGACAGGTTAGTGATGGTGTTGGTGCAGACGTAGATTTATATATCATCAGCATAACAATGAAAATGAAGACCATGACTGCGGATGATCTGACTGAAGGGTCAAATATAGATGAAGAATAGAGGGCCAAGAGGGCCAAGGACAGAACCCTGGGGGACACCCTGTGCAACAGCACTGATAGCAGAGTTATGCTTACCAAGAGCAACAAAGTGGAGTCTATTAGTGAGATAGGATCTGAACCAGACGAGGGTAGCGTCTGTAATGCCAATAGCTGAAACAGTATGATGAGTATGTCATGATTAAAGGTGTCAAATGCAGCGGGTGAATCTAAGAGGAGCAGAAAATTGATAGCACTGGAATCAGAAGACAGCAGTAGATCATCTAGAACCTCTAAAAGTGCTGTCTCAGTGTTATGCACTGTACGAAAGCCTGACTGGAAGTTTTCAAAAAGATCATTATTTATTAAAAAAGACTGCAATTGAGATGCTACAACACTTTCTAACAGTTTGGCTAAAAAGGGCAAATTAGAAATCGGGCAATAGAGTTCCAGAGTGGCTGTATCAGACCAGGTTTCTTAAGAATAGGAGTGATAGCAGAAGTTTTAAGGGCAGTAGGGACCTAAAGCAAGAGATGAATTGATGAAATGACAGATGGGGTCAGAGATAACAGAGACACTTGTTCAGAAGTGTAGTGGGAGTGGTACTCTAGACCTTTTATGGTTAATATCTGGTTAAAGCTCATTGAAATACATGCCCCTTCATGTGGAGAGCATTTGAGTGCTGTGGGATAAAGGGAGGTCAGGCACTGAATACCACTAGTGCTGTCATTCGACAGGTACAAGTTTATTGAGTATATTATGTTTTAATTTTGTGGTCAGTCAGGACTGCTAAAGAGCTAACTGTATGTCAAGTCAAGGCTTTATTGTCATTTCAGCTCTGTATAAGTACACAGTGAACAAAACAACATTCCTCCAGAACACAAGTGCAGAACAATACAAGAAACACAGTGCAGACAGTACAGTACAGTAAATAAATACGAAAGACTTACAGTAAATACAGAACAGAACACAGGCAGCACACGGTACTGAGAGTATGTGGAGCTGTGCAGAGGAGGATGGAACACACTATGACATATTAGCATATATGAGCAATGCGGTCACTGAGGTAGCAGCCAGAACAGCAATGGTATACAGTATTTGGTTGATACGGTAATTCTAGTAATTCTTTTCTTTTGCATGTTGTATTTTTGGTTAATAGTGGGTTGGGGTCTTACCTATAGCATCAGAGCCTGTTTTGTATTAAGCCACAGGTTCAGCTGAATAGTCGTCTGTCCTTGGGCCAGATTTGTAGTTTTTTTAGTTTTTTCTGATTTATTGATCTATTTGTAAATAAAGTTGTCCAGTGCATCAGCCTCATGCTGTATAGTGTGTGCCTGTGTGCAGATACATTTATCTTAGGACATACAGACTCATGGTTAACAGTGGACATGATGGAGTAAAGGAGGGAGGGAAGAAAAAAAGGGAAGAAACTGACTATTTCAGATGGTGCGTCAAGGTAAGATATTAACAATGGCCATATTTGCCAGAACTTATACATTTTCTGATTTAAGTTGTAGGTCAGTTGCTCTAATGGAAGCACTTTTGTAACTTGGGACAACCAAAGATCAACAGATGGAACCTGAGGAGTTGACCATAAAAGTAAAGGACGTCAGCTCTATTCTCAGTTTACCTGCATCTTCTGTGGGTCTTATGGAGAAGTGTGAGTTTTGCTGTGGTAAAGTATCTCTCCAGGGTAGAATCTGGGGACGTAGGGGCTACAGCCAACAGAGATTAAGGCTTACAATCTGTTAGATAAGAGGTGAACCAATCAAGAACAGAAACAACAATGCCCAGGAGGCTGGAGTGGCTCACCATGTCAAAGGATTGGTGTTAATGTAGCTATTTTGTAGGCTGAGGGGTCATGGCCAGAAAACAAGGACTATTATTACTTTTGGATGGGCAGATCCCATCCACCCCGGCCCATCTATAGACACGCACTCGCTACGGGGATTCCTACCCTTATGCGCACGGGCTGCAGCTTCGTGTTAATCCCATTAAGTTAGTGGTTTAGCCAAACCTGTGTTAGACTGAGACTAAACTGCTGCTAAGCTAATATCAGAGCCATAGTCCTGATAGTTCAGCTCGGGCTCAGCCTTAAACCACAGTACTTATATAGTTACGCCATTTCCCTCTTACCCACCCGTATTCAGGCACAGCCGTCCTGCGCTCGGTCTGATTGGCGGACTGCTGGAGAGTGAAGGGGCTCTTAGCCAATCATGGCGCAGGAGTTCTCCCGAATACGGGCGGGGAAAAAAAAAACAGTAGGCGTAAACTAGCGGACCAGACTGACACGTAGGAGAGAGGAGAGTCAGACTCTTCTCAGCAGAAGATCATCCAGAGTGATTTTACTGATCTAGGTGGTAAAGGTGGTGATGGGGGCTCCGGCAGTCTGTGTGGTCTTCCTCAGTGGAGTGGTCGTCTCTGTTCTCGGAGGTGAGTTATTTACTGTTTCTGCTGCGCAGACATTCAGAATTCCTGATGAACTACTTTAGTTGACCCCCCCCCCTCATTATCTGGACTGGAGTTAAAGCATCTGCTAGATAAACTGTGTTAAACCTAACTGGGTCCCTCGCAGACCTGGACATATGAGAAAGAAGACATTTGGGAACAGAGAAGAGCTGCTGAGAAACAGTCCGCTGCTGAAGACCTTCATGTGTTTTACACCTTTTTCCCACTTTGGGCTGTTTTATTATTATTATGCATTTTTGTTTTTCATCTTATCATCCATTAATTTACTCTTTTCACATGTATGACATGGATTTCTACACGTTATCTCCTGTAATCAGTAAGGAAACACCATTTATAAACTGGTGTGGCTGATTCAGATTTCTTTTCAGACAGACTGGCTGATGACCAATATTTAAAAACAGTGTTTTCTCTTAACCCTCGGACCCTAAGAAACAGTAGGTCACTTCTGGCCTTCATAACTTCAGAGAGATTTAAGACACAAAGATGATCCACATATCAGGACATTCAGCAGACCCGCCCTAAATAGCAAGCATATTCAGCACCAGCAGTAAATCGGCTCGGAAAATCCCCTAAAATCCTGATGTTCTTGCTCTGCTGTTTGGATCCAGCTCCAAAATCACCCAAACCCACTCACTACTATTATATCTCTGCTTTTAGCCTTCATATTATAAACAAAGGGCTTTCAGTTTACATTGATTTTGAGTAATAAAAATCTCATTAAATATGCAGCTCAATTTGTAATTAATAATAAAGCCTGTATTTCTGTGTATCAGAGTTTTAGGACTCTAATCCAAGAGGACAGAAAATCAATAAAAACTTATAATAAAAAAAAAAAAATACTCATAATAACCAACAGAATGAATCACAATCAAAATTGTTGCACTTTCAGCTCACAGACACTCCAGACTAACAATTTCTGAAAAGATACCTACAACTGCACTTGTTTTCAAGATCGCTATAATTAAAAAAATACACAGTTTTGCAGACGCCAAGTAAATTTTTGATCAGAAACGATCCAAATGTATAAAGATATAAAGTTCTGTTAGCATTTACATGTCAAACAATGGCGTATCTGAGTAGCCCAGGGTCTCCTGAAAATAACATATGGCCTGTGTGACTGTCTCATGTAAATACTTTATAACTGTAATTGTAATTGTCCCAAAATACCAAAAAAATCCCATATTTTTTGGTTTCTAAGGGTTAAATGGGTCAAACTGGCATTTTAAATTTGTAAATCAAAATTATTATTTAAATAACATGAATCAAATAAAGGCCGACTGGCTGTTTACCACAGTGAGTTGAGTGTAATTACACTATGCCATCTGTACAGCTGTAGCTGCAGCGTATAAATACAGCTTGAGTGCACATGTGATCATACTCACGTTATGTCACCAGATCCTGGATACCATATGTAATGTGCTAAAACAGATTGGAAGCAGAGACACCACTGTGTTGTGGTCATTATCACTGCTAAAATGCTCATTATCTTCCAAAAATAAGGTTAAAACTGAAAAGCACTGTCATGTTACACCGGTACAGGTGACACACTGTCCAGCACTAGAACCCATCACTGTTTCTGTTCAGTGACTTTAAATTTGATCCTGAATAAATGATAAAAACTTGTTACTGCTGCTACACTGTATGGTGTCATGTTCCCTTTGTGTAATCTAAAGGGAATAATTCATTATTCAATCATTATAAAGCATCTGAGCTTTGTTTTCTAGCACCTACAGTTGTATGAACCTCTGGTCAAATTCCCTGTTGTCGTTGATTGACTGAGTGTAACTAAGTGAACACATCCTCTAGAACACACTTCTGCACCATTTAATACACAGATACTGTTTATTTACTGAATTTAACAAACTAGGACAAAAACAAAGTACAAAATGTGGCCTGTGCAAAAGTTATGGCACAGTTTATATGTTATATTTAACTTTTCCAATATGTTAAACTCAGTAAGTTAACAGAAACTGTGGCCTAACATTAGCAGAATGCCATATACCATATGTCTCTCTGTAGAGGATGTGTGAACTTATTTACACTTAGAAAATCAACAACAACATGGAATTAATCCAGGGCTGTTCAGATATTTACATCTGACTGCAGTTTACTGGATAAAATCATGACATTCTTTAAATGTGGTCACTGCAAATAATTAGACCCTATTAAATGTTGATTAAATGATGAGCTCGGCTGTGACGCTGCTTTGATGTTAATGAAGAGCTTTTAGATATTTAGGACTCCAGGAAGACGCAGATACAGTCAGCAGACACGGCACAGAGCAGGAATAACAGTTCCCCCTTATTAATTCTGTTCGATTAATGAATTATATTTGTCCTGCATCCATATGAAATGTATTTTTCTGTCCTTTCATGTGACGCCTGACAAATATCAACAAAAGAACAATATTAATACATTTTCAGTAAAAACAAAGTCATTGGGCGGAAAGCAGGAAACACCCTGGACAGGTCGCCCAGTTTGTGTCTTCAGTCCTCAAATGTTTATTGTTGTTGAAATGAAAAGGTGATGTAACACAGTGGTAAATCTGCCCATCGCAACTTTTTCAGAACATGCTGCATTTGGAATGAGCGTATGTTTACAAAAACAATGAAGTTCATAAGATAAAACATCAAATATGATGTTTTTCTATCACTTTCAGTTTAAAACAGGTCGAACAGAATTTACTAATCCTTGCTTTCTGTTTTGCATTTTACATTCAATTTTTGTTTAAATGTTTTTGGAATTGGGTTTGTACATTAAAGGAGAAGTCTACTGACAGTCGGTGTGGAGTCTAATCATACACCCCGTCCTGATCATACTTCCCCTGGTTTCCAGTCACGGTTCTCCCAGTGTTATTGGATAATCCATACATATCAGAGCCGTCAGTCAGCAACTCTGGGAGGAACCTTAAAAGGCCTAGGCAGATGTATGTGAGCCTGACTATCTGTGAACTTAAAGCAGCATCATGTGAGAACTGGTCTTTTCAGTCTTCCATAAATAACACTGGCAGGGATGCCACTTACACTCTGATTTGGATTTTCATTGTTTTCCCATTAGTCGTTAGACTGTCTTACATCCCCTTTTCTCTTTTGGCTCTCACCTACGTGTAATAGCCAGTCCGAGATTTACTCTTGTCCGATCTCGTACTCAGTCACTCTCTCTTTTTCTCTTCCTCGCTTCCTCTGAAAAGGTCTTCTTTGTTCTTTGGCAGGCGTTGCTATGATGCCCATGTTGGGAATACAGAGCTAGCTTCTTGTAGCTAGCTGGAGCCGTAGTTGTTGTGTGAAGTTACGTAGCACTATAACAGGCGTCCCATTATTATAAGTCAGTGTACCGTCCAAATTATTTTGAAGCTCTTGTTTTAAGGTAGAACTGTTACATAATGTTGCTTTAAGAAAGACGTCACAGAAGAGGAGATACGCATCACTTTAGTGGACACAGCTTGTTGTGGTAGTGTTTTGGTAGGTTGTTAGTGAATTATCTACTATGATCAGCATGACTCCATCAGTATGATGTTGATTTTGAGATAATTTGAGACCTAAACATCGAGCTGGACCTTCTTTTGGAGCCTCTGTGTGTGCGACGTTAATACCATGAGTAACATAGACTTAATAAAACAAACATAAAAACTAACCTCTATTTGTTGGTATTATCATGTATGTAACGCTCATTAACTCTCACATATATTGCTAAAATATCACTAAAATGGCAAAACAATATTACCCAGCAGTAAAGACGGTTCCCATCACTGTTTTTGTACTGACCACTGAACAAGTGTTTTCATTTGTTGATAGATAGATAGATAGATAGATGGACAGATAAATAGATAGATAGATAGATAGATAGATAGATAGACAGACAGATAGATAGATAGATAGATAGATATAGATACATAGATAGATAGATAAATAGATAGATAGATAGATAGATAGATAGATAAATAGATAGATAGGTAAATAGATAGATAGATCTTTATTGTTATTGTTAAAAACAATGAAAAACCATTTAGCAGCAATGCTGTTGTAATACATGCAGAATGTGGTTTTACATTGTCTTGCTAAAATAATCAAGGCCTTCCCTGAAAAAGACGTCATCTGGATGGCAGCATATGTTGCCAAAAGATGTATATATCATTCAGCATTAATGGTTCCTGTTTATATTTGATTTCTTCTTTGCGATTTTGGTTTGCACATTATTGTGTTTTGTTTTTATTTACATTTTGCACAGCATCCCAACTTTTTTGGAAATGAGGTTGTATAAGCCTGGCTAACAGTTCTGTGTTACAGCCACAAAGTGGGAGATTAAAACAACATATGAGTGAATTGTGTGAACTCAGTAATCAAAAATACTTGACAAAATAAGTTACTAAACTTTATGGAGAATCTCAAGAAATATCTGTTTAATTGCTGTGGATATTTGCAGGTGACATTGCTGTGGGAATAAGAGAAAGTAACCAAAACATGTCCTACTTGAACCTGTTTAACTACTCGGTTGCTTTTTACTTGTTAGGTTGAGATCCATGCTCCACTACAGGTGTGTCTCAAGTGTGTTTCAAGATAAAATGATTAGAGATATTATGTTTCATTTATCAGTTAGTTTTCTTACACTTTTTTCTCATTATCCCTCCAGATCAACACTCTCTGTACTACATTTACTCCGCCCTCAACAAAGATGTCGCTCTACCAGGGATCTATGAGTTCACAGCACTGGGTCTGCTCGATGACCGGGAGATCGACTACTACAACAGTAAGGACCAGGTTAAGGTTCCTAAGCAGGACTGGATGAAGGAGAAGATGCAGCCAGATTACTGGGACAAAGGCACCCAGTCTCGCAAGAGCAAAGAGCAGTGGTTCAAGGTCAACGTGGACATCCTGATGCAGCGAATGAGACACAATCAGACCGGTTAGTGATCTGTCACTCATTCTTCTTTAAAAACATCACAAGTTTCCATCCACTGTATGATTCCTCTGGTTTTGAGCAGCTAATGTCTTTATCTTCACTGTCTTGTTACATTAACTCAGTTCCAGACCTTCACGTTCTTCAGTGGAGACATGGCTGTGAGATCGATGAAGCAGATGGAAATGTCAGATTTCTGAAAGGCATTGATGAGTACAGCTACGATGGAAAGGAGTTCCTCTCTTTTGATGATGAGAACATGCGGTGGATCGCTCCAGTTCCAGAAGCTGAGCCAACCAAAAGGAAATGGGATGATGTGCCCATCCTGAACCAGTACACCAAGGGTTACCTGGAGAAAGAATGTGTGGACTGGCTCACCAAATTCATGGAGTACGGAAAAGAAGCACTGAGAAAACACTGTGAGTCCCAAAGTCCTTGTATATTTTTCTAGTGGCTTATTTCCTGAAAGCATCATCATCATCATCATCATCATTCTTTATTTAAGCTCGGGTTTACATCAAAGGGGGCCCTCATTTACAGACAATAATAAGAGACAATAAAACAATAATAGGAAACAATAAAATATGAGTAAAAATATATAAAAATAATAATAGTATATAAAATAGAAAAATTAAAGATCAAAATAAATAGATAAATAAAATATTCAACTAAAACAGTTACAAACAGAACTAAAATAATTCAGAAGTAAAGATTTAAAAACCCTGGGAGAAACGAGCGAGTCAGGCTTTAGAGTACCTTGTTCACTTAACCCCCAACTGCTCCCTGGGTGCTGTGGATAGGGCTGCCCACCGCTCTGGGCAAGCGTGCTCACTGCCCCCTAGTGTGTGTTCACTAGTGTGCATGTATTAGAACAAGAAGCTGGTGAAGGAGAAGCGACTTCAGCCTCGTAAAACAGTCGAACGTTGAGAGACATTTTATAATAAACTGTTCTCCTTTTGAGGAAAAGTTTTCTGGTGGAGACGGGAGGAAAGCAGTTATAGCTAAATCTTAAAGCAGAGCAGAGTAAATCTGCGTTTTCGTTTACATTGTTTAGTCTATACTAGGACATCAACACACACTGAGACATACTGGACATTGAGTATTGTGGCTCCCAAGCTGGTTTGACTTTTGTTGAAAGGACAAAATGTCTCTTCTTATCATTTGTGCTGTGACTCCTGACCTAACCTGGCTTTAATGCAGAGGGAGCCGGTCGGATTTCTCACTCATCCAGTTGTGTTTTTGTTATGTGCCCCACAGACTGTCCGGGAATTTGTGAATCGATTCAGAATCGTCCATGTTAGCATCGCGATGCACCTAAGAATCTATTTTTCTCCACCCCCAGTACTTAAACTCATTTTCTCCTTCAATAGCGGATCCATGTAAAGTTACACCATTTAAAATGTTATTTTCAATATGAGCAGGTCTGGAATGAATTAAGTGAATGAATTAACTAAACGTTCTCTGACGTGCTGACCGTCACTCACTCTGACGAGTCAGCTGTCCTCAGACTTTTTGTAAAAGGTCGCTTTAAATTGGCTACAGTGTCGCAGAAAACACGTTTACAGGTTGTTTGCTGCTGTCTGGTAGTTAACCCTGCAGAAGATGGTAACGGGCTACTGCAGGACATTTTTGAAACTTTGTGAAAAATGAAAAATGGAAACAGTGTGTGTGCATTTCATTGACTTTTCCTTTTTCAAAACTAAAAAAGGAATTTATTTCTGTCATTTCAGCCAAACCAGATGTTCATGCATTTGCAAAGAAATCTACAACTGACTCGACCAAGCTGACCCTGACCTGCCTGGCCACGGGCTTCTACCCCAAAGACGTGAAGATGAGTGTGAGGAAGTTCCGCACTTCACTGCCTGAACATCTAGTAACATCTTCAGGAGTCAGACCCAATGGTGATGGAACCTACCAGCTGAGGAAGAGTGTGAAGATCCAGAAGGACGATACAGCAGATTATGACTGTTATGTGACTCACGTCACCCTCGAAGAACCGATAGTTAAACAATGGGGTAATTATATCTGTGTATCTAATGTATTTCTGGTCTTTTATAGTTTAGAATTAGTTTCTCAGTGTAAATCTAAACCCTGTTTAACAGAATGGCAGATGTGCAGAGACTAGACCCAAAACTACATGATGAGGGCAGCTTTAAAGTATTTCCCCACTTTAATCAATACTAATATTGTTGTAAATGTTTTCTGTCCCAAATAGAGCCAGGAGAGCAGGGTTCGCAGGAACGATGTCTTTATTTGAAGATGTTCTTTTAATCTGTTAATCAAAGCTCAGCTTTGCTCTAACAGTTCGCTTTAGGTTAAGCTCACGTCTTACTCTCTCAGCCCTCAGCGCTAGACTGTCTCAGTACTTACTAATCTACATAGACCACAGCCAGGGGGCTAGCTCCGCCTTCAAAATAAGAGTCCTTATAGAAAAACCCAACAAATAAATGCTGCAGAACAATTACCCCAAAATTACCATGAACACATTCTTGACCAAACTGCTACATATTGCTGGTGTTGGAACAAAACCTTGTATCTCCATTTTTGTCACTGTTTTTTTAAATTTTAGAAATAATTTGAAAAAGCCTGTTTCCTTTTACATTTTATGTAAATTTAACGATGAATGCACCTTAAGAAACAGCCCAAAATGACTCAGGAAAAAAGTCTAGTAACATTGATTCATAGTAAAAGTACGGTAGGTTTTTTCCTTCTTCTGTAAAGTTACTATTTTGGAGATATAAGTGTTGTCAAGAAATTAACATTTTGCTGGCTGAAGTCAAGGTTTTGTTCCGACAGCAGTTAAAAACACGTACGTATGAATGTGTAGATATTTTTTAGAAGTAGCTGCTACTTGCAGTTGTAGTCATTATTTTCAGTAATTTCAGTTCAGCCACATCTACAAAAACAGATTCGCTTAAAGGGAATTTCAGGGATTTTCACACTTTCTGCATAATTCTGTGTGTGAAGTGTAAACAGAGTGATTCAGAGTGGTTTGGTGTGAAATGGTTATATATCTTTTCAGTGGTGGTGATAGAAACCAGGTGTCGCCATGACTACAACACAAATATAGACATTTTATTTACTATCCAAACCACCAGTGAACCTACACGAGTCTTCTGAGTTTATATGGAATGTTGATGATGGAAAATAGTGGAAAATCTGAAATAATAAGTTTTCTTTGGAGACTATTTTGCCTCACAGCGCCCTGCATGTATCCCTCTGACCTTAATAGATTAAGTATGTTTTGGGCCAAAATCTTCTCTAAACAATCATAAATCAATGTCTCGGTCATCAGGCAGTGTCTGGTTCCTGTCACCACCACAGGGAACGATTCTGACTCGGTAAGCTTATCTAGAACGGAGTGTTTCACACTAAACCACTCTGAATGAACCTGTTTACACCTGAAACAATTTTGAAAAATCTCTGGAATCTCCTTTAAACTTATTATTATTCTTATTATTTTAATATTATTCAAGCATCCAAAATGGTTTTATTGGGGACAAAATACACATAAATACATGATACAATATGTGATGTATACAAAAACCACATTGTTCCATATTTTTTCTTTTTTCCTTTAGTTTTAGCTGTTGTCTGTCTATTCTAGTTACTTTCCCCTTATGTTAAAAAAGGCAAGCACAAATAGCCACTTGTATACCTAACAACAGAATGTATATGTTGTCCTGACACAATCTTTTACAGATGAACCAATAGATATAGGGCAATATTCAGTGTAAAGTCCTGCTTGGGAAATTGTTGGTCAGACTGGGTTATGAGCAGCAGGCTCTTCAAAAAAATCATCATTCCTGTAAACACTGGTCTCCTGAACTCTCACATATGTCACAGATAAAGATTTACCACATCCTGATAACCACAGGAAAAAAAACACTTCTGCTGCAAGTCTTTGTCTTCTCAAGTCAGGACTTGCCTGCTAGCCACCTATCTTTGAGCTCTGACCTGCCCCCTTGTGGATATAGCTTCATTTTCTAGAGAAAAGGTGCTGCTCACAGAGCCGCTGTGTGTGCATCTGCAGGAGCCACCAAAGCTGAGCACTTTTCATACAGGTACAGAGTTGGGTTCTGTCACTGGGACCTGATGGAGGGCTGAAATTGAAGGAGTCCTCTGTTAAATCTCATACAGGCTCCTGAGTTCTGATGTTGCGTAAGCAGCAGTTCAGTACTGATGCAGAGGCTCTGTAGACCTGCAGTAGTACACTAGACTGGGATTGGCTGTGACTAATATTTGTAGAGAATAATAATGTTTTCAGTAGCTTTATGCTGGTGCAGTATTGCAGCGGGTTGAGCAAAATCTGTCACCCCTGCAGATGAACGATAGAAGAGAGTCCACTTTAGATTTACAGCATGTTTTCACTGTCATGGTAGAACAAAAATATATAACTGGTTTTTGTTCAACACCGTTCTGTTTACAGACAAACTGTGCTTTGACTGTGAGAGTTCAGGACTGGTTGGAGCAGTGATTGGCGGAGTGGTGGTGCTTCTGCTGATTCTCGGTGGGATCATCTTCGCCCTTATAAAGAAGGGGAAAATTGGTGAGTATAGACTATCTTAGTACAGGTTGTGTTCAAAGAGTGAAGTCTATTTATTGAAAATGTACTACCAAAAGGAAAAAAAGCCTCCTCAGGCTTCCACCTCAGCACCTTCATCCTTAAAATGAGATGCACAATGACAGGAAGAAGCTCATCACCAGGGAAATGTGTGATTAGGATCTTGTCATCATAAAACCAACAGTTCAGAAAAGTTCTTAACTAATGTTCAGAACACAGTGGTGAATTTACTTAAATACTTCTTGGTCAGTGTGAAATGAGCTAATGGTCCCTCCTTTTTAGCTGAAGTTAGTATTAAATGTTAAGGTCTGAAATGGCCTTGTTTATTTGATGATTTATGTAGTGAGGTCAGTCTTTTTCCAAGTTTATCATAGCTTAGCATCAAATATTGTTTTTCCATTATTTTGACTAAACAAAAATATAAACAATAATAGAAATGCAATTCTGAAAACCAAACAGCAGTTAATGTTCATTTTACATGTGCGTAATATTTTTTATTTACCAGGCATTCCAGGTGCTGTAAATGCTGCAACTGGTCAGTGTCAATATGATTTTGTTGCAGCTCTACAGACTGAGCAGCTGAGCAGAGTGACAGCCTGCTGTGTTCAGTGTGAGAGCAGCTTCGGTTTTCATAGCCCTTTTCTCCAGTAACCAGTTTCATTAGGGCAGACAATGCAGTAACACCAAAGAGAAGCCTGCAACATGCTTTCCCATTTTGGTCAGTCACAAGGAAATTTCAGGTTTCATGTTCAGGTTTTATTGTATAGGGAAATTTCTGTGAATATTGACTGAAAGAGAGACCAGCCAACTCTACAGACTGAGCAGCTGATGCCGCGCTTATCATGAAAGCTGCTTCGGTTTTCATAACCAGTTTCAGTACAGCAGATTATGCAGTAGCAGCTCAGAGAGGCTTAAACCAGAGAACATAAACACGCTAACGCTTCAGATCAGAAATTCAGCAGTTGCTTCTTGTCTTGCTTCTTCTGTGGAGCCGAGCGTTTTGCCAGCAGGGTATTCTGAGAATCTGACAACAACCCCATAAACTCATTTAAATCTGCTGCCAGAGGAGTTCGACTGCATAATCGCCCACACTGGCCAGAGAGAAGTAAATCAGCCTCTGAACTGTGTTTTGTATATATTTTCCCCAGTCAAAGTCCAGTTTAGAAACAGCCATGATTTGTGGGCTAAAATAAAAAATGGCTAAAGCTTACTATGTTATGATGGCCTGCAGACCACAGTTACTGTTCACCAACCGTTCTTAAGCACAAGTGTCTTCTTAAAACCAACTTAAGCAGTTTTCATGGAGATTCTGACATTCACCAGTGTTTTCTTATCTAGGTTTTGTTCTTAGGTAAGAACAGAATCTACACTCACTCTAGAGCACAAAGCTGTGAACAGTTCTGCGCTTTAAGAACACGCCATGAATCTGACGCAGACTTTTTCCTAGAACCTTTCTCAAGAACACTTTCAGGAAGATGGTAAATGAGGCCCATTGTTATCAGGCTGTTAGTCTGGGTTATATTAAATTGTTTTTCACTACTATAGAGTGTTTCAGAGGACAGACGACATATTAGGACAGATATATAGGAAAATGCAGATTATAAGACTAAACTGGTTTATTTTTGTGCTGTTGAAAGGAGCAGACAGCAGTTTTGCTGACATTTAAATTGTCCAACTGAAAAGCGGTCATCCATCCCGCACACCGAGAACATATCAGTGACGTCTGGTGCTGCTGACAGTCGGCTCAAGACTGTTGTTTATCACTGGAAACTGTCTGTAGTGGCTTTTTAGGAAATCAGAGGGAGTGAATTTTTCTACAGAGCTTTGCACAGCAGGGCTTTGCAGACAGACGGTCTGTATTTCAGGCAACAAAAGAATGAACTGCGTCCTAATTTTTTCCTTTTAACAAGTCTGATGGTAACCTTGTTCCTTTTCAGGTGGGGCCAGCAATGGTGGGTCAGGAATACCGAATGGTCACTCTGATCAAACAGCGGAGCAGACAGCTGCTTCACCTTAAACTCAGCAGGACAAATTATCATAAGTAGTTCATACGTTACAATGTGTGCATTACAAATACAGATATACAGTAGAAAAACAAAACCATAAAAGACTTTCTGAAAGGGACGAGGAGGATTAGACAGAAATGTCTACATTTAAAAATATGATCAAACATACAAACTGAAACATTTTCTCTGAACTATATAAAAATATAGTCTTGAATTCCTCAAAATCACCACACCGTGTCTTAATATCTGCTTCAAATCACCTGATAAATATCTTCAGATGTTTAACTGACCTGCTCTTCAGACTGAAATCCACATTGACTGTTAATCTATTATAGAGAAGCCTGTATAGTTAGAAGTGTTGTTTATTATGAAAAAATAAGCTCAAACTTTTGACTAGTTTTGTGTCACGTTCTTTTTGTGATTATACATATTGGCTGAATAATTATAACTGCTGGCACTGAAATATCTTATGATTCATTGAAGAATATGGATATTTCAAAGTAATCTTCAGAGGTCTAGACCTGCTGCTCACAGTCAGGATCCTGTGGATTTACTTACAGCAGATTACAGATGGATTACAGTTACAGCTGCTTCAGATTATTTAAATAGTTACCCCCAAAAATATTATTGATTATATCTGATAACTGTGTATTTATCCTTAATATGTCTTTCTGTAAAACACCAGTTCTGTTCTTATTAGCTCATTGGCCACTTTATTAGAAACCCCTTCCTTGAAGCTCCACCTTGTGGTGTACAGTTAAACTCTGTAGTTCATCTGTCACCAGTTTGTGTTAGTCGTTCTCTAAACCTTCATCAGTGGTCAGTTTCTGACCTCAGAGCTGCTCTTGTCTGGATAATTATGGGTGGACGGTCCACTCTCAACCCAGCCCTGATACTGACTTGTGTAAAACCTACAATAACACTGCTGTGTCTCAAACATTCATTCCAGCTCCACACACAACACCACATCAGTCTCCACCGTGTGTTTCTAATAAAGTGGCCAGTTAGTGGAAGTACAAGGTAGGTGTTTCTAATAAAGTGGCCAGTGAGTGGAAGTACAAGGTAGGTGTTTCTAATAAAGTGGCCAGTTAATGGAAGTACAAGGTAGGTGTTTCTAATAAAGTGGCCAGTTAATGGAAGTACAAGGTAGCTGTTTCTAATAAAGTGACTGGTGATGGTACATAACAACAATTTAATATCTGTTTCACAGGAACTCCAGAACAGAGGAAGTGAATTACACTGGAACTCCAGATCATTCAGGATTCCACACCAGACTTTCTTACAGCACAGACTCTTTTCCATTCTGTAAGATTTGGGCATTTGGAGACCTCTCTGGTGGAAACGTGTAACTGCACACAACATGTAATTTTGTAACATGGGTCTGCGCGGGACTGTTTTTTCAGTTTCGCTCCCACAAGATTTCATCCTGCTCCCATAGAAAATGGTAATCGTTTGTACTGTTCAAGCCCACAACTGAAATGTGCTTTCCTGCTTCCGCCCACACAGTTCCATCAAGGGGAAGTGACATTCAATATCTGACACAGTTTATTCACAGATACATTCCTCTCTGCTGAAATAACACAGCAGTCATGGTCATCAGGCTCACTGTGAGTAACTTCACCAAACGCCATTTATGCACCATTTAAACACAAAGCAGGAATTAAACCACAGAGTGGCTATTTTTGGTGTTTTGCGGGGCAGCTGTGGCCTTCGTATCATTTAGGGATGGTTCTGCTTTATTCTGGCTGTTCATTAGTTTGTGGCACTTCTCTTTATGTGTGCTTCATCCCGCTCCCGCCTGCAGTGGGCTGGGTTCCCTCCCGCTTCCACTCACAACACTGAAAATTAGACCCAGAAGGCATTGTGGCGGGTCCAGCGGGAATCCACAGGATTGCAGACCCCTACTTCAAACCCCTTCCCTGAGGAGATGATTCTGATGACTGAGAGTAAGACGCGTCTTCTGAGGATGTGAATCAATAATTTACTGTTGTCATCATTTCTTCATCAGTATAATGTTAATTTAATGTTCGATTCTCTGGTCAGGCTACGAGGGTCCTTTCTGTGTGGAGTCTGTATGTTCCCCCTGTATCTGTGTGGGTTTCCTCCCACAGTCCAAAGACCTGCAGTCAGACTAAACTGCCCCAGGTATGTGTGTGTGTGTGTGTGAGAGAGCAAAGAGCAGTGGTTCAAGGTCAACGTGGACATCCTGATCCAGCGAATGAGACACACAAATTCCAGTTAGTGATTTATCTCTCTTCATATAAAATCCCAAGTTTCCATTCTCTGTATGATTTTCCTGGTTTTGATCCAGCTAATGTCTTTATCTTCACTGTCTTGTCACATTAATTCCTCACATTTACAGGTTGTTTGCCACAGCACACTGGTTAACTCTGTAGCAGATGGTAACAGGCTACTGAAGGAAATTTAAAAAAATAAACAGTGTGTATGTATGTGCATTTTATTTTATTTCCTTTTTCAATAAAAAAGGAATTTATTGCTGTTCTTTCAGCTAAACCAGATGTTCATGCATTTGCAAAGAAATCTACAACTAACTCAGGCAGACTGACCCTGACCTGCCTGGCCACGGGCTTCTACCCCAAAGACGTGAAGCTGGATGTGAGGAAGTTGCACACTTCACAGCCTGAACACCTACTAAGATCTTCAGGAGTCAGACCCAATGAAGATGGAGCCTACCGGAGTGTGGAGATCCAGGAGGACCAAACAGCAGATTATGACTGCTATGTGACTCACAGCTCCATCAAAGAACCACTAGTTACAAAATGGGGTAATTCGATTTACAATTCTTGGGATTCCTAGCAGAGTATAAGTCATTCCATGTTCTGCTTTTTCACTGTTACTGCAATTGTTTGCTTTATATAACTGTAAATGCTGCTTAACAGTACAGCAGATGTGCAGAGACTAGACCAGAAATTAGCTTTTTAAATTGCATTAAGCTGCTTATGACACAGAACTTCAAAATATTGCCGACTTTAATCAATAAATGTAGAATTATTGGTAACAATGACACATTTCCCCATTAACCCTTCCTGCACCATTGTGACTAATTTTAAATAAGGGGAAAATGTACGTATGTCCTCATACAGTAACTTTTCAAATAAACCTGTGTTAGTCCTGGACAAAGAAACCCTGAGCGTAGGGTTCTCTCAGGCAGGTCAATGTTCATACATCCTTGGAATAAAGCCGTTCTGATCTGGACCGTCTCTAAAACACTGGTTGATTTCAGTAGCGTAATGCAGTCGGGTTGATCAGAATAAGATTTCTATACAGATTCATTGTAGATGAGGAGGCCATACTTCAGATTCAGAGTTACATCTGCTGTTCCCACAGTTCATTTATTCCATTTGAAAACTTTCATTTCAGAAACTGTTTTTTGTTATTTAAAAAATGTGGCTCAGATTTTTGTTCATTTATGTGTCTACAGAGGGCCCTCCCTCGCAGGGTGGTCTGGGTTTGGCTATTGGAGGAGTTGTAGGTGTGATTTGTGCTGGTTAGAGTTGTCATCTTTATCCTGAATGTATAAACTGAGTTCATATTCCGAGGATTATATTCAGATTCTGTTCAAAGTACAAAGAATATGCACTCTGAAAATGGACTTCTATGTCAGATGACCAAAAAAAAAAAAAATCTGGCTGAGAAGTGTTCTACTTGCCGTTATCTGTGATAACAGAATGTTTTTTTTTTCATATTTTCCACTGGTTGCTAAGTATTGACTGCTTTACAAAAGTACAAAGTACAAAAGTACAAAAGTAGTGACAGTAGAACTAAACACACTGGCATTAACCAGAAGTGAACAGAATTGGGTGCGAAAAGTAACTCTAGCACATACTGAAGTACGGAAACAGCTGAGCTGAACCTGAGATTCTGACAGTTTCATGGTCTGTCTGTGACAGAGCAGTAAAGTCAGTTTACACTGAACATTTGTTGGGTATTTGACATTCTCTCCTCAATTTCTCATGAAATAAACATTCGAAAAAGATCAAAACTACATTTCCTCACTCCTCAGAATAAAGCCAACAAAACAATCAAATATATTTCAGAAGTATCACTTGTTAAAGTGCACAAAACATGATCATTTGGAAATGAGGATAACTGGTGCGATAGTCATTAAGGGACCATCTAAAAAGTACATACATATGTTTTATTTCATGTATTTTGCTAAAAGAGGGCAAAATCTCACTTGTAATAAACAGAGTGGCGTCTCTTAACTGGGTTTTGCAGTTGACTAAAAGGAGGCCGCTTTCTTAACTGGCTTTGAACTGTTTAGATGTTCTGTTAATGACTAAAGCATCTGCCTTTCTGAAACATTGTAGATTGTTTTCTGTCTTCACAGGACTGAGAAAATGTAGGATTGATCATTTTTCAATATTTGTTTCATGAGAAATTGAGAAAAGTTGAATATTCAGAAAAAAAAGTTTATTATTAATGCATCTTGATGCATCTTTTTTCTGTACAGGATTTCTATTTTCTTACTGTCTGAGGACTTGGTACTTTTAAAGCAAAGTATTTGTAATGATCCATAATGCGTTTACTTCTAATATCTTGTATTAATAAATCAAATGGAGGTGATGTGGTTAGTGAACTAACTTGTTTGGAGCACATTAAACGTTGCTGCCACTCATCTGTGATAAAATTAGCAGTTATGGTGAAATAAGATCCAGTGGTGATGGACGTCCACACAGCACATGTTACAGCTATCCTACCCGTTTTCTTCAGTGATTTCATAACTTCGGTTTTTGTCTGGTTGTATGGGGAGTTCCCTGGGTCAGTAAAATATCTTTGAGACTGGTCGCTGTATCTCGGCTCCAAAGTGTGCAACACAGCCTGAAAGCCCTGGTTCTCAAAGACTGAGAACGGACGCAAATCCTTAGCAATAAAAGTTGTGATAGAGTTTGAAATTCGCCTCCGAGTTGGGTGCAAGTTTTGACATCACTTACTTGATAGTGCTCTGGTTGGCAGCAAGTATAACTGGACGGGAAACGGGTGGAAACATGTAATACGGTTTCTCATGTTTGTTGTTTCCAAAATATTTTAGTTTAGTGTGACACAACCTGCATATAGTGTGGCTCTTATCCAGGTCCCTTTTCCCTTCAGCTTCATAGAAGCCAAAGTGCTTCCATACGCTAACTCAGGGGTCAGCAACATACGGCTCTTTTACTGTCCCGATAAAAGTAATCCTCCTTTACAGTAAAAAAAAAAAACTCTGCTGATCGTTCTAACGCTGTTTAACAATAAATGGTCTTAAACGCTGCTAATTCACCACACTATAACCCTGAAGGCCGGCGTGCAGACTGCAGGTCACAGCTACGCACAGTCTCGCCTCGCTAGTAGCGAACGTAAAGACAAAAAGACTGATTTATGACAAACATTTGGAGACGAATGGACTTATTTGCACTTATAAGCAGCACAGTTGGTTTCCTGGTATGTTCAATCTGCAACGAGAGACTGTCACACACTAAAAAAAGCATAAGCATACCTAGCCAAAAAAGCTTGATTCTGATTCTGATTGTTCAATTTGCAACGAGAGACTGTCACACAATAAAAAAACAAACACTAAAAAGTCGCAAAGATGAAGCAAGCTTCTCGTTCGAATTCTCCCGTTCCACCTTAAATGGTGCCGCATTTACATTCGGCGCCTCAGGCACCATTTAAGGTGGAACGGGAGAATTCGAACGAGAAGCTTGTGTGACAGTCTCTCGTTGCAAATTGAACAATCAGAATCAGAATCAAGCTTTTTTGGCTAGGTATGCTTACGCGTACAAGGAATTTGGTTTTGGTGGCGAATGAGAAGCAACTTAAGCCTCGTAAAACATTGAGAAATATTTTACAAGAAATTGATCTACTTTTGAGGAAAGGTTTTCTGGTGGAGATGAGAGGAAAGCGGCTACAGCTAAAGCTTAAACCAGAGCGAAGTAAATCTGTGTTTTCGTTTAACGTTCTCTAGCGGCTCTAGCTGCTCCGCAAACATGCAACCACTTCAATGCCACAGAAGATTTGAGAGAGGAGTCTGCGAGTAGCTGTAGCGAACAAACAGGACCCCTACCTGCCCGGGGCTACAGCCAAAGCTACAGGCTGACAGTAACCTGTATGAGGTTTCCCTGTCCAGTAAAATGGATCGCCTCACCACATCCATATACCAGCGCACGTACAAATGCTGCTCAGTCAGTACGCTCACTGAACGCTGTTACACTATCAGGCAGAGATTTTGGAGGAAAGGGGGCGACAGCTGGACCAAACCAAACCAAATCCTGTTCTCTGGGACGAAATATATGTGGTGAACGACTTGATTCGCAGTACAGGGCTGTGGACTTGCTGTCTCAGGTGAGAGAGCCCTCTGGCTAAACCTCGCCGACACTCAAAAAGCAGAGGGCATGGACGCGGCTCATGACCCCACCAAAGGTCTTTTCAGACCAGCCCTGGAGAAAATGAGAGAAACCAGCATTCTCAGGAAACAGGAAGATGAGGCTTCCAACCTTTGCCTGCCACGCAGACAGGTACCATGCCCTCCTCAGCTCAGTGCATCAAACCATGACTGTAACAGAAGCCACAACGCTAATGAGTAGCTTTAGTAAAGCAGCAACTACATAGCCAAAGAGTTTCACAATAGATTTGGGAAAGAAAATGGTCAATTCATTATTCAGACAAAACCTGCACAGATTAAAACGTAGTGTGCTTTGATGAGTGTGAAATAAACTCACAGACCAGCTTAAAAAACTGTTTTACTGAAACTGATTGGTTCACTTTTTTAATGCCTTCAAATTAATACTGACATGATACGGCAAGCTTTTTTATGTATGCGCTGAACTCTCTCTTTTCTCAGCAATTAATCAATTAGTTATGTAGATTAATTAAATAAATAATCACTTTAAATCGGCATTTTTTTAAATTAAATTTTTTAGCACAAAATAGCAAATCTTTGCTACTCATGTGACCTTGTAATACATGTTTACGTCTCAGTAAAAGTGCAGGAAATCAACAGTATCATTTACTTCCAACGCAAAAACATTTTGTAAGACTATATCACATTACATAAATCCATAAAAAGTAAAGATTAATCTTGGCACAGCTGATGTAAACACACATTTGTACAAGTTCTGTGTGAAACATTTCCTTTAGAAGTCCATTCCAAAAAGACAGTGAGATCTGATTCACTTTAATTAGACTACAACACTAGTAATTGCTTTGTTTTTACCTGCATACAATCCAGGGGGCTTATTTTTCAGCTGAGCATACATATAGTTTTGTGTGTAAACCTCATATATGCACATTCCTAGTGGTGGAGAAGTGTAATCACAGGTAAACCCATTATGAGATACACAAACTCAAATTTATTATCATCTATTTTAGCTTAACTGACTGAATGATTGGTGATTATTGTGCTTATAAACTGTAAAAATGCTTCATCAGTTCAGCCTAAAGAACAGTAAATAAACAATTTGAATCAAAGTAAAATAGTTTTTCAGAAGCATGAAGGTGATATTTTCATATTAAATTATTCTAGTAAGATATTTTTGCATGGTAAAATTGAATTCTTACAAGAGAATTCAGTTATTAAACTTTCATAGTTCATGTTGTTATGTTAAAGAACTAAGAACTGTTGCAACATTATGCAACTTATGCAACATTTCAGTTCAGCTTTTTTCTGCTACTGGGGAATTTTAAAGGGAAGTAGGTTTGCTGTGTATAGCAATTTAAGCTGTGTAAAAAAAAAAAAAGCATATTTTTTACTTATCTCTAAAGCTTGTGGTTCTGACACTGATTCAGATAATAATAATATTCCATATTAAATCTATTTTAATATGAGTAATATTTCTTATCAAATAACGAGTGTCCGCTGTAACTCAGCTGTGATGTGACCTTACTGTGTCTGTTTCAGGAAGGGGATCAAATAAGAGCAGCACTGAAAACATATCAGCTGACTTTGATGCTTCATCTGACTCTGGTAATGTTTCTGCTGGAGTAATGTCTGAACACACTGAGCTCAGTTTTATTTTTTAATTGTGTTACATTGTTTATTGTTGGTAAATAATTGTAGTATCTTTGAGAAAACACACTGTGAGAATCAGAGTGTGTGGATTTTTGGAGGATCCTCCTGAGCTTTAGGGACAATTGATCTTTGTTTCAGATTCTCAGAGAATGAACTGCCCTGTATATGTATTTTAAAAAGTCAATGAATATGTTGCTTTTCAGGCTCCAGAAGCAGTGGGTCACTATGTGACAGTGCGGAGAACGTTAATGAAGCCAGCGCGTTGCTGGGGAGTGATGCTGATAAAGTGGCAAATGATTCACTTCTAGATGAAGAGCAGGAACTGATGTCTAAAACTCCTGTAAGTCTATAAATGTGGAATCATGTGGTTGAAAATACAAACATAGAAAAGAAATACATAAAAAACACAGAATAGTTTCTGAAATGGGCAGGGGGGTGAATTGGACAGAAATGTGGAAAAGTTAAAGTTTAAGTACATTTACCACTTCCTGGAAATCACATGTTCAAAACTGATGGTTTTACTCCATGAAAGAGTTACAGAAAAGCATGAGCCAGTGTAGAAAACAAACATCTTCTTTGAACTGAAACAACAGTTATTGATTTTCATCTAGTTAAAGGAGCAAAGGAAAAAATCTTTTTCTAAGATTTTAGCTTAAAACATTCCAACATTAACTAAAATCATCAACAGAATGTGAAGAAATTACAGTTTTGATATTTTGTCAAAGATGTCTCTGTATCGTGTTGCAGAGATATCTACTGATGTTAGCATGCTAACCAGCTAGTTCCGGCCCGTTCTGTATCATAATACCACTTTGTGCCTCAAGAGGCGATAGTGCGTCACTGTAGCGCCGAGTCAGTCATTAGTCTAATATGAGAGGATAAAGAAGTAGCTGCCCACTCCCACCAAGAAATTACATGGGAAAGAAGTTACATAACTTGATGCAAAACAAGAGTTAGCATTGGCACTGCTTTCCACCACTGGGGACTGCAGCTCTTGGTGAATCTTCTTGCTTTGGTAGCTTTTCATTAAAATTTACATAATTTATATTACACAATGAAAATATATATAATTGAATTTAGATGTTTATACTGTTATAGCATGAAATATCATGAAAAAATCATTTTAAGCATGCAGGCTCAAACTTTTGACTAGTAGAGTATGACGTTCTTCTCTGGTTATGCATATTGGTTGGACAGTTATATCTTACAGAGATATTGAGAATATATGGGTGGAGGTACAAGGTAGGTGCTTCTAATAAAGTGGCCAGTTAGTGGAAGTACAATGTGGCTGTTTCTAATAAAGTGGATGGTGAGTATATAACAATGATTTAATCGCTTTGTTTCACAGGAAACCCCTGGGAGAGTGTGATTTATTTGATAAATTTCATTTGATTTCACCATGCCGCATTCATTTGATGTGGCACGGTGGCGCAGTGTGTAGCACTGTTGCCTCACAGCAAGAAGGTCCTGGGTTTGATTCCCGACCGGGTCACCGAGGTCCTTTCTGTGTGGAGCTTGCATGTTCTCCCTGTGTCTGTGTGGGTTAGGGGCAGTCGTGGGCTGGAGGTTAGGGAACTCAGCTGACAGTTTGTGACTGAAGTGCCCTTGAGCAAGACACCTAACCCCCAACTGCTCCCCGGGCGCCGTGGATAGGACTGCCCACCGCTCCAGGCAAGTGTGCTTGCGGCCTCCTAGTGTGTATGTGTTCACTAGTGTGTATGTGGTGTTTCACTGCACGGATGGGTTAAATGCGGAGGTCTAATTCTGATGTGTTCAGACACAGTTGGCTAAAAAGGTTCATTTCAAGTGTGACATCAGACCGCAAGTTGTGATAATGCTGCAGAGCTTGTGGTCCATTGGAACTGAACTCCAGATCATCCAGGATTATACACCAGCACTTTCATTTACAGCACAGACTCTTATCCAGTCAAAGGCTGAGTCAGCACTTTTTCATTCCCATATCATGGGAAACTGAATTATCCATGCCTTTTTGAATTAGCAACTGTTCAATTATGCACATAAACATTGTTAAAGTCTCAAAATGTAGTGTTCCCAGTACATACAATCTATATATGGAACCTAAACTGCAAAAACAGCCCAGGAAAAAAATACAAATAAAAGAAAAATGTGATATAAGCCCTTTAATAGAAATCCTCCACATTTTAAAAACAACAGTATATTACACGTCTGTTAATGATAAAAGTAGACAGTCTGGCACCTCAAAAGCATCAAATAACAGTTTGATACACTGCTCTTTCAACATATGGTGAAATATATATATTTCTTTATTAACTCTAAGCACTATCTGGGTGAAGTGTACTGATTGTCATGTTTTAAGGAAATCCCTGCTGGAATAATCCATAGAAACCATTTAGTGTTCTTGCTGGTTTCTGATGGTTTTGGAATGTGTTTTGGCTTTTTAGTGGGTTGATATCAGAGTGTAAAGGATCCTAATGGTTTAACAGGTGACCAATGGCTGATTCTAAATGCATTTGATGGTTTCCTAATGGAATCTAAAGGTATTCTACAAAAAACCAGTGGTCCCTTTTGGAAACCATTAGGCCAATTCCAATTAGAAAGCAAAACCAGGTTTTCAATCCTAATGGCTTTTAATGGTCCTTTTTCAGCAGGGATGTGTATAGAGGGCTATACAGACCTCTTTTCTCTCATGTTTCTACTTTTAATTAAATTACATCTGACATGGTGTGTTTTTGTTTTTTCCATACAGTACTGAGCCTCAGCTATGTTCCAAAGTCTCTTAAATTAGGTGTAATTAAACCCCTAATAAAGAAACCTAGTCTTGATCCCTCTGAGTTATCAAACTATAGACCTATTTCAAATCTTCCCTTTTTTCAAGAATTTTAGAGAAAGCTGTGGCAAAACAATTATGTTCCCATCTGCATAGGAGTAATATATATGAAAAATTTCAGTCTGGCTTCAGGCCTCACCATAGTACCGAAACAGCGTTAGTGAAAATTGTAAATTATCTATCATTATCCGCTGACAAAGGAAACATATCCTTACTGGTTTTACTCGATCTTAGTGCAGCTTTTGACACAATAGACCATTCCATTCTATTAGACAGGCTTGAGAAACTAGTAGGAGTGACAGGTAAAGCTCTTTCATGGTTCAAATCTTACCTTAGTGATGCTTTGAGTTTGTTAATGTAAATGGTGAACCATCAGCTCTCACAAGAGTAAAGCATGGTGTTCCACAGGGCTCTGTCTTAGGACCCATGTTATTTACCTTATATATGCTACCACTAGGTACCTTCATTAGAAAACATGGCATCAGTTTCCACTGCTATGCCGATGATACACAATTATATATTTCAGCTAAATCAGAGGACAAAACTGAACATAATAAGACAGAGGACTGTGTAAAAGACATTAAAGACTGGATGTCAAGTAACTTCCTCTTACTAAACTCAGACAAAACAGTTCTTCTTCTTGGTCTAAAAGCTGTTAGGGATAATCTGCCTACGTTTCCTCTTAATCTCGATAGTTTCTCAGTTGCACCAGGCACATCTGTAAAAAGGTGTCACGGTTGATCCCAGTCTGGCCTTCGATGAGCATATTACCAATATTACCAGAATAGCTTTCCTCCACCTGCGTAACATCGCTAAATTAAGAAATGCACTGTCGCTACAGGACGCAGAAACGTTAGTTCACGCCTTCATCACGTCCAGGTTAGATTACTGTAACGCTCTGCTTTCTGGTTGCTCCAGTCAAAACATTAACAAGCTTCAGTTAGTCCAGAACGCTGCAGCCAGAGTTCTCAGCAAAACCAGGACATTTGACCACATTAGCCCAATTTTGTGTACCTTACACTGGTTGCCAGTTAAATTTCGCATTGAGTACAAAATTCTTCTGCTGACGTATAAAGCTCTGAATGGCCTTGATCCTCAGTACCTCAGTGACCTTATTTCCTATTATCGACCGACACGCCCACTTAGATCACAAGGTGCTGCTCATTATTAGTACCCAGAATTAATAAAGTTCCGTCAGGGGGAGGAGCCTTTTCATCCAAGCCCCCCAGCTTTGGAATAGCCTACCAGTCTGTGTTCGGGACTCCGACACAGCCTCCATCTTTAAGTCTAGGCTAAAAACTTACCTGTTTAGTCGAGCCTTTGGTTAATTAGTTTTCCTGTTAGAAAAAGGCGCAGATCTGTCCGATGGTAATCTGGGAATGTTGGTGCTGAACTAACTATCTGTCCCCCTTACCCTCCCCCCCTTTCCCTGAGCTGAGCGGCTGCCCGTCCTAAGAGGGTCTGATGTGAACACCACTCAATCACAACCCAGGGGGGTCTGATGCGGCCGGCGCACTGTACAGGACTGTAAAACTGTATCCACTTATACTGTTTTGTGTCTGTGCTGTTATCCGGTGTCAACCGGAGGAGGATGGGTTCCCCTTTTGAGTCTGGTTCCTCTCAAGGTTTCTTTCTCCTGTTGAGGGAGTTTTTCCTTGTCACTGTCGCCAAGGCCTGCTCACTGGGGGACCCGGATTCTCTGTAAAGCTGCTTTGTGACAACATCTGTTGTAAAAGGTGCTATATAAATAAATTTGACTTGACTTGACTACTGTACACCAAGATGAGTGATTAAACTTAAAGCACAGTCTGAAGGGGGCTAAAACTGTAAGCTAGCATTTAAGACTCTTGTAGAACTGTGATCAAAAAAGGTACTTCATGTAATAAAGCGGACAAAACTGTCTTATTAAATATAAATTTTAATCTATGTCATTTATATACTATCTGTATACATCTGTGCATGGTTTATGTACAATGAACACATATATACATGATTTAAGAAAACAAATTGAGGATGTGTTGGTTGATTTTTATAAAACGGCTCTGTTGCACAATTTAATGTGGCGAATGAATGTGAGTCAGACTTAACGGTTTGCCTTTTGTTCTGATTTTTTGACCCTGTAATGCGGAAGGTGAGTATTTTTAGTCTTCTTTTCTGACTCGTTATTTCCCCCGACCAAGTTTCAGTTCAAGCTCTAACTTCAAACTTTTTTATTTATTTTTTTATTATACAATAACATGACTTACAACAACCAACATCCAGGTTTGTGCTTACACGTTAAATCATAATCAACATATAAGTCCTTTTTGCCCTTTTTGCTTGTTTTGTGCCATATGTCTTAAGCTCCTGGAGGAAGTGTGAAGTTTGGCTTATAATCAGACCATCTCTTCTTATGTAAATAATATCTACCCATAATAATTAAGTATTGTACAATAAATACTTAACCATCTAATCTGTCCATAGAAAAATAAATAATAGCATCAGAAACATCCAGTGCAATACAGTGTCCAGTCTTTCTTCTTACAAAGTTTTCCACATCAATCCAAAACACTTCAGAATGAGTACAGTGGTGAAACAGATGGATAATTGTTTCCTTTTCCGAAGCACAAGAGACAGAAATATTCAGTGATAATTCTAAATCTCTCTCAAACACTTTTAACAGGGTAGATGTTGTGTCAAATTTTAAATGTCACGTCTTTATTTTATTATTCATACAATAATTTTCCATGTTTTATTCCAGTTGATGTTCCCAAAAACAAAAGACCAATATAGTTGTTTATAAATTCATTCATTATATATTACTTTCCTAAAATACCTGTTTGTACATTTATATTTAAGGATATCAGTGTCCCCAATAAAAAGTCCATCCCTATGGCATCCATATCACTATTTGCTGAACCTTTAAGAAGCTGTAACATTTGTTGTGGTACAGCGTCAAAAACCATAGCATATTCTTTAGTTGTGACTGGTACTCCAAATTTATAAAGAAACTCACTGTATGCCAACAAAAAGCCATCGACATTCAAAAGTTATTCCACTAATATCACAATTACGCCGTTTCCCTCTTACCTACCCGTATTCAGGCACAGCCGTCCTGCGCTCGGTCTGATTGGCGGACTGCTGGAGAGCGAAGGGGCTCTTAGCCAATCATGACGCAGGAGGCGGGAGTTCTCCCGAATACGGGCGGGGAAAAAAAACAGTAGGCGTAAACTAGCGGACCAGACTGACACGTAGGAGAGAGGAGAGTCAGGAGAACCGACTCTTCTCAGCAGAAGATCATCCAGAGTGATTTTACTGATCTAGGTGGTAAAGGTGGTGATGGGGGCGGCTCCGGCAGTCTGTGTGGTCTTCCTCAGTGGAGTGGTCGTCTCTGTTCTCGGAGGAGGTGAGTTATTTACTGTTTCTGCTACTCAGACATTCAGAATTCCTGATGAACTGCTTTAGTTTACTCCCCTTCATTATCTGGACTGGAGTTAAAGCATCTGCTAGATAAACTGTGTTAAACCTAACTGGGTCCCTCACAGACCTGGACATATGAGAAAGAAGACATTTGGGAACAGAGAAGAGCTGCTGAGAAACAGTCCGCTGCTGAAGACCTTCATGTGTTTTACACCTTTTTCCCACTTTGGGCTGTTTTCTTATTATTATGCATTTTTGTTTTTCATCTTATCATCCATTAATTTACTCTTTTCACATGTATGACATGGATTTCTACACGTTATCTCCTGTAATCAGTAAGGAAACACCATTTATAAACTGGTGTGGCTGATTCAGATTTCTTTTCAGACAGACTGGCTGATGACCAATATTTAAAAACAGTGTTTTCTCTTAACCCTCGGACCCTAAGAAACAGTAGGTCACTTCTGGCCTTCATAACTTCAGAGAGATTTAAGACACAAAGATGATTTACATATAAGGACATTCAGCAGACCCTCCCTAAATAGCAAGCATGACATAATCAGCAACAGCAGTAAATCGGCTCGGAAAATCCCCTAAAATCCTGATGTTCTTGCTCTGCTGTTTGGATCCAGCTCCAAAATCACCCAAACCCACTCACTAATATTATATCTCTGCTTTTAGCCTTCATATTATAAACAAAGGGCTTTCAGTTTACATTGATTTTGAGTAATAAAAATCTCATTAAATATGCAGCTCAATTTGTAATTAATAATAAAGCCTGTATTTCTGTGTATCAGAGTTTTAGGACTCTAATCCAAGAGGACAGAAAATCAATAAAAACATTTTTTTTCATAATAAAAATCATTTTTACTCATAATAACCAACAGAATGAATCACAATCAAAATTATTGCACTTTCAGCTCACAGACACTCCAGACTAACAATTTCTGAAAAGATACCTACAACTGCACTTGTTTTCAAGATCGCTATAATTAAAAAATACACAGTTTTGCAGGTGCCAAGTAAATTTTTGATCAGAAATGATCCAAATGTATAAAGATATAAAGTTCTGTTAGCATTTACATGTCAAACAATGGCCTATCTGAGTAGCCCAGGGTCTCCTGAAAATAACATATGGCCTGTGTGACTGTCTCATGTAAATACTTACACTATGCCATCTGTACAGGTGTAGCTGCAGCGTATAAATACAGCTCGAGTGCACATGTGATCATACTCACGTTATGTCACCAGATCCTGGATACCATATGTAATGTGCTAAAACAGATTGGAAGCAGAGACACCACTGAGTTATGGTCATTATCACTGCTAAAATGCTCATTATCTTCCAAAAATAAGGTTAAAACTGAAAAGCACTGTCATGTTACACCGGTACAGGTGACACACTGTCCAGCACTAGAACCCATCACTGTTTCTGTTAAGTGACTTTAAATTTGATCCTGAATAAATGATAAAAACTTGTTACTGCTGCTACACTGTGTGGTGTCATGTTCCCTTTGTGTAATCTAAAGGGAATAATTCATTATTCAATCATTATAAAGCATCTGAGCTTTGTTTTCTAGCACCTACAGTTGTATGAACCTCTGGTCAAATTCCCTGTTGTTGTTGATTGACTGAGTGTAACTAAGTGAACACATCCTCTAGAACACACTTCTGCACCATTTAATACACAGTTACTGTTTATTTACTGAATTCAACAAACTAGGACAAAAACAAAGTACAAAATGTGGCCTGTGCAAAAGTTATGGCACAGTTTATATGTTATATTTTATTTTTCCAATATGTTCCACTCAGCAAGTTAACAGAAACTGTGGCCTAACATTAGCAGAATGCCATATACCATATGTCTCTCTGTAGAGGATGTGTGAACTTATTTACACTTAGAAAATCAACAACGACATGGAATTAATCCAGGGCTGTTCAGATATTTACATGTGACTGCAGTTTACTGGATAAAATCATGACATTCTTTAAATGTGGTCACTGCAAATAATTAGACCCTATTAAATGTTGATTAAATGATGAGCTCGGCTGTGACGCTGCTTTGATGTTAATGAAGAGCTTTTAGATATTTAGGACTCCAGGAAGACGCAGATACAGTCAGCAGACACGGCACAGAGCAGGAATAACAGTTCCCCCTTATTAATTCTGTTCGATTAATGAATTATATTTGTCCTGCACCCATATGAAATGTATTTTTCTGTCCTTTCATGTGACGCCTGACAAATATCAACAAAAGAACAATATTAATACATTTTCAGTAAAAACAAAGTCATTGGGTGGAAAGCAGGAAACACCCTGGACAGGTCGCCCAGTTTGTGTCTTCAGTCCTCAAATGTTTATTGTTGTTGAAATGAAAAGCTGATGTAACACAGTGGTAAATCTGCCCATCGCAACTTTTTCAGAACATGCTGCATTTGGAATGAGCGTATGTTTACAAAAACAATGAAGTTCATAAGATAAAACATCAAATATGATGTTTTTCTATCACTTTCAGTTTAAAACAGGTCGAACAGAATTTATTAATCCTTGCTTTCTGTTTTTTTTTTTGCATTTTACATTCAATTTTTGTTTAAATGTTTTTGGAATTGGGTTTGTACATTAAAGAAGTCTACTGACAGTCGGTGTGGAGTCTAATCATACACCCCGTCCTGATCGTACTTCCCCTGGTTTCCAGTCACGGTTCTCACAGTGTTATTGGATGAATCATACATATCAGAGCCGTCGGTCAGCAACTCTGGGAGGAACCTTAAAAGGCCTAGGCAGATGTATGTGAGCCTGACTATCTGTGAACTTAAAGCAGCATCATGTGAGAACTGGTCTTTTCAGTCTTCCATAAATAACACTGGCAGGGATGCCACTTACACTCTGATTTGGATTTTCATTGTTTTCCCATTAGTCGTTAGACTGTCTTACATCCCCTTTTCTCTTTTGGCTCTCACCTACGTGTAATAGCCAGTCCGAGATTTACTCTTGTCCGATCTCGTACTCAGTCACTCTCTCTTTTTCTCTTCCTCGCTTCCTCTGAAAAGGTCTTCTTTGTTCTTTGGCAGGCGTTGCTATGATGCCCATGTTGGGAATACAGAGCTAGCTTCTTGTAGCTAGCTGGAGCCGTAGTTGTTGTGTGAAGTTACGTAGCACTATAACAGGCGTCCCATTATTATAAGTCAGTGTACCGTCCAAATTATTTTGAAGCTCTTGTTTTAAGGTAGAACTGTTACATAATGTTGCTTTAAGAAAGACGTCACAGAAGAGGAGATACAGGAGTGAGTGGACACAGATAAGAGGAGTGGACACAGCTTGTTGTGGTAGTGTTTTGGTAGGTTGTTAGTGAATTATCTACTATGATCAGCATGACTCCATCAGTATGATGTTGATTTTGAGATAATTTGAGACCTAAACATCGAGCTGGACCTTCTTTTGGAGCCTCTGTGTGACGTTAATACCATGAGTAACATAGACTTAATAAAACTAACCCCTATTTGTTGGGTATTATCATGTATGTAACGCTCATTAACTCTCACATATATTGCTAAAATATCGCTAAAATGGCAAAGCAATATTACCCAGCAGTAAAGACGAACCGTCTTTAAGACGATATTTTAGCAAACATCACTGTTTTTGTACTGACCACTGAACAAGTGTTTTCATTTGTTGATAGATAGATAGATAGATAGATAGATAGATAGATAGATAGATCTTTATTGTTAAAAACAATGAAAAACCATTTAGCAGCTCTAGAATTGACAGCAATGAACAAAAGGAAATAAAGATAAATAAGGACAAAGACACAAATATAAATACAGTGAGACAGTATATACAAACATACTAGTGCAGGATTAAATGATGTGTAGTGCAAAACGAAAGTTCTCAGTCTTGGTCTAGTCACAGACTTAGTCTGAGGTTGGGTAAAATAAAAACTGTTTAATTTACTTTTTCTTACTTTTCAAGACAATAAATAATATTATTCCTATTTTAGAAGTTCGTAATTTAATGACATATACTATTATACAACCCAATTTCCAAGAAAGTTGTGGGGAATGTAAACAAAAACAAATGCAAAAATGCAATTATGTGCAAACGATATAAACCCTATATTTAAATGACAACATATCAAATGTTAAAACTCAGAATCTTTTTGTTTTTTGAAAAATATTTGCCTATTTTGAATTTGATGCCAACAACACATTCCAAAAAAGTTGGGACGGGGGCCTGTTTACCACTGTGTTTCATCACCTCTTCTTTAACAACACTCTGCTTGGGAACTGAGGAGACACTGCTGTAGTTTAGAAAGTGAAATGTCTTCCATTCTTGTTTCATATAGGATATAAGCTACTCATCAGTTCAGGGTCCCTTTGTCATATTTTTCATTTCATAATGTGCCAGATGTTATCAGTGGGTGACAGGTCTGGACTGCAGGCAGGTCAGTTTAGCACCTGGACTCTTTTAGTACAGAGCAATTCTGTTGTAATACATGCAGAATGTGGTTTTACATTGTCTTGCTGAAATAATCAAGGTCTTCCCTGAAAAAGACGTAGTCTGGATGGCAGCATATGTTGCCAAAACATGTATATATCGTTCAGCATTTCTGGTTCCTGTTTATATCTGATTTCTTCTTTGCGATTTTGGTTATCACATCATTGCATTCTGTTTTTGTTTACATTTTGCACAGTGTCCCAGCGTTTTTGGAAATGGGGTTGTATAAGCCTGGCTAACAGTTCTGTGTTACAGCCACAAAGTGGGAGATTAAAACAACATATGAGTGAATTGTGTGAACTCAGTAATCAAAAATACTTGACCCAAAAAAGTTACAAAACTTTATGGAGAATCTCAAGAAATATCTGTTTAATTGCTGTGGATATTTGCAGGAGACATTGCTGTGGGAATAAGAGAAAGTAACCAAAACATGTCCTACTTGAACCTGTTTAACTACTCGGTTGCTTTTTACTTGTTAGGTTGAGATCCATG